AGAAACTGGGGATCCCATAGCACACCCATGTTTCTGCCTACAATAATGCCCCCCGTACATGAAGTAGGTTGACTCCAACTCCTCAAACTGTGCCCCCTCCTACAGTGCGGCTATTGCCAGTATCACTCCACCCCCTGTTAACAATAGGTGCTAATTAGGTGTCAACAATAGCCATGTGATGTGAGTATCAGTCACATGGARGCAGTGCTTAAAAGCCTGAATTTTGCCTGAAACTCTCAGACTGAAGAAGTCTCTTGGAGGAGAGACGAAACGTTTCATTAGAGAAGAACCTGTCCAGAAGACCTATACAATTTTTTTCTTTTTGATTTTTTACCTGGATTACTGAGATGCATCAGGACGTTCAAACTCGCAGTTTATATATAAAAAACGGTTTGATTATTACAAACATGTCTCCCTTTGAGAAGCATAATCCCTTCTTTAACATCTGTATGGAAACATCTGGAAGCTTTCAAAATGTTTTCTACATCTTTTTCCCCCCTGGGCTTATTTGTTTTTATTCACCTTATCACTAAAGCTGAACATGGCCATCTTCTTGTATCTGGGATCTCGTTCTTTTGGTCATGATCCACGCCTCATGACCATAGGTGAGGATCGGAACGTAGACAGACCAGTACATCGAGAAATTTGCCTTTCAACTCAGCTCCTTCTTCACCACGACCGACCGAAGCAACACCCTCATTACTGAGGATGAGGCCCCAATCCGTCGATCCATCTCCCGCTCCATCCTACCATCACTTGTGAACAAGACACCCAGATATTTAAACTCCTCCATTTGAGGCAGAGACTCTCCCCCGACCTGGAGGGGCATTCCACCCTTTTCCGATCAAGAACCATGGCCTCAGAGAAACTGTCTCTCATCCAAGCTGCTTCACACTCAGCTGTGAACCACTCCAGTGCACGCTGAAGGTCTTGGTCTGAAGACGCCAACAGAACCACATCATCTGCATACAGCAAAGATGAGACTCTGTGGTCTCCAAACCAGACACCATGTTCTCCATGACTGTGCCTTGAGATCCTGACCATAAACACTACAAACAGGATCAGAGACAAGGAACAGCCCTGGTGGAGTCCAACACACACTGAGAACAAACTCGACTTTGTGCCAAGAATGTGAACACAGCACCTGCTTTGGTTCTACAGGGACTGGATCGCCCCTAATAGAGACACAGACACTCAATACTCCCGCAGCATCTCCGACAGTATGTCTTAAGGGACACGGTCATAAGCCTTCTTCAAGTCTACAAAACACACGTAGACCCATATGACCCCCTTAACAACTCTGCAAGGGTAAAGATCTAGTCCACTGTTCCACACCCAGGATGCTGCTCCTCTTGAATCTGAGGTTTGTCATTCAATCAGAGCCTCCCCTCCAAAACCCTGGAGTAAATTTTCCCAGGGAGGGTGAGAAGTGTGATCCCATAACAGTTAGAACGCTTCTCCGGTCCCCCCTTTTAAAAATTCCACAGGAGTTGTCCCAGTCCTCCATGCAATGTTGAAGAGACAAGTCAACCCTAACAGCCCCACAACATTCAGAGCCTTCAGCATCTCGAAGTGAATCTCATCCACCCCTGGTGCCCTGCCAAGGCGCATTTTGACTACCTCGGTGACCTCTGCCATGGTAATGGACTCGTCTTCCTTCGAGTCTTCAGGCTCTGCCTCCTCAAAGGTGGACATGGAGGGTGGATTGAGGAGGTCCTCGACATGTTCCGTCCATCACCCAATGATATCCTGAGTCCTGGTCAGCAGCTCCCCACCCAAACTAAGTATAGACTGAGACAGGGAACACTTTACTTTTTATGAGTTGTCGAACAGTTTGCCAGAACCTCCTTGAGGTCAATTGAAAGTCCTTGTCCATGCCTCCCCTAATTCCTCCCATGCCTGAGTTTTTGCATTTGCAACCACAGAAACCTGCAACCATCTTTGCCACCGTGTACCTTTCAGCTGCTACAGGAGTCCTCTGGGAAAGTCAAGTACAAAAGGCCTCCTTCTTCAGCCTGACAGCCTCCATCACTGCTGGTGTCCACCAGCAAGTCCTTTGTTTGCCACCTCGACAGGCACTGACGACCTTCAGGCCACAGCTCCTGGAAGCTGCATCTGCAATAGAGGCCCTGAACATGGCCCATTCGGATTCCATGTCCCTGACCTCCCACGGGACATGTGAAAAACTCTCCTGGAGGTGAGAGTTGAAGATCCCACAGACAGGGGCCTCCGCCAAACGTTCCCAGTTCACCCTCACTATGTTTGGACAGATTCATTATAATCTGCCCGCTGGTTCATTAGAGGGATGTACAGCAGTATGTTGTACCATTACTTAGAAATGGTATTTATTGTCTATATTAATGCTGCTACAACATAGTGGCTCAGTAGATAGAACTGATGCCTTTTAGCAAGACCCAGCAAGGACCTTTGTGGGTTTGCATGTTCTCTACATGAACGCAGGGGTTTTCTCCAGGTAATCTGGCTTCCTACGACAGACATGACTGCTAGGCTAACTAGTAACTCAAAATTGTCCTTAGGTGTGAGTACACTCACCGGCCACTTTATTAGGTACACCACGCTAGTAACGGGTTGGACCCCCTTTTGCCTTCAGAACTGCCTCAATTCTTCGTGGCATAGATTCAACAAGGTGCTGGAAGCATTCCTCAGAGATTTTGGTCCATATTGACATGATGGCATCACACAGTTGCCGCAGATTTGTCGGCTGCACATCCATGATGCGAATCTCCCGTTCCACCACATCCCAAAGATGCTCTATTGGATTGAGATCTGGTGACTGTGGAGGCCATTTGAGTACAGTGAACTCATTGTCATGTTCAAGAAACCAGTCTGAGATGATTCCAGCTTTATGACATGGCGCATTATCCTGCTGAAAGTAGCCATCAGATGTTGGGTACATTGTGGTCATAAAGGGATGGACATGGTCAGCAACAATACTCAGGTAGGCTGTGGCGTTGCAACGATGCTCAATTGGTACCAAGGGGCCCAAAGAGTGCCAAGAAAAGATTCCCCACACCATGACACCACCACCACCAGCCTGAACCGTTGATACAAGGCAGGATGGATCCATGCTTTCATGTTGTTGACGCCAAATTCTGACCCTACCATCCRAATGTCGCAGCAGAAATCGAGACTCATCAGACCAGGCAACGTTTTTCCAATCTTCTCTTGTCCAATTTHGATGAGCTTGTGCAAATTGTAGCCTCAGTTTCCTGTTCTTAGCTGAAAGCAGTGGCACCCGGTGTGGTCTTCTGCTGCTGAAGCCCATCTGCCTCAAAGTTCGACGTACTGTGCGTTCAGAGATGCTCTTCTGCCTACCTTGGTTGTAACGGGTGGTTATTTGAGTCACTGTTGCCTTTCTATCAGCTCGAACCAGTCTGCCCATTCTGCTCTGACCTCTAGCATCAACAAGGCATTTCCACCCACAGGACTGCCGCTCACTGGATGTTTTTTCTTTTTCGGACCATTCTCTGTAAACCCTAGAGATGGTTGTGCGTGAAAATCCCAGTAGATCAGCAGTTTCTGAAATACTCAGACCAGCCCTTCTGGCACCAACAACCATGCCACGTTCAAAGGCACTCAAATCATCTTTCTTCCCCATACTGATGCTCGGTTTGAACTGCAGGAGATTGTCTTGACCATGTCTACATGCCTAAATGCACTGAGTTGCCGCCATGTGATTGGCTGATTAGAAATTAAGTGTTAACAAGCAGTTGGACAGGTGTACCTAATAAAGTGGCCGGTGAGTGTAAGAGAATGGATGGTTGTCTTTGTGTCCCCGTAATGCACTGGAGACCTGTCCAGGGTGGACCCCACCCCTCACAGTGAATGTTGGATATGGGCACCAGTGACCCCCGTGACTCTGAAAGGAAGAGGCGGGTATTATGAATGGATGGATATTATTTCCTTCACACACAGTCTCTTTATCCTTATTGGGACTTTTTATTGACTTCCATTCATTTTTTGGAAATTTTATAGCCTAACCCTGACTATTTACCCTAAAATTAACCTCACGGGTACCTACCTGACCTTAAAACTAAACCTAACCCCCCCAAAATCAGTCTCCTAAGTAGGGTTGGGCAATACTGGCAAAAAAAATAAATCATGATTGTGGTATTTAGCCGATAACGATTCATTTGACGATTAATGCCCTGGAGTCCCGGGACATCCTTATGTCCTAGTCACATGAACAATTTAGTGGGAAAGACTTGCTCTTCATAAAAATCTGTTTCAAATTGTCAAAATTACAGACTTCAGGCTATACATCAAATTTTAAATTGTGTTGATAGATAAATAAATTACAGAACTTTTTTTAAAAAATGTTTTTCATATTCGAAGCAGAGAGGAGCACCAAGCGTCAGTCTGCCTGGTGGCATTAATCATATTAATCGTCAAGTGCCAAAAAAAAATAATCGATTACTGTTTTTCTGGCGATTAATTGCACACAATACGATTATACCCAACCCTACTCCTAAGTCATGGGGACTGGGCTTTGGTCCCCGCAAGGAGCATTCAGTCCCCACCAAGTAGCAGAAACAAGGACACACATACACACTTGTCCTATCCATAAGGGGACATGGCATTGACTTCCATTCATTTGCTGGTCATTTCTACAGCCTAACCATGACCCCTTACCCTAAACCTAACCTAAACTTCACACTTTAGTCCTAAACCAAACCCCTGACCCACCTACAGTATTTCCCCCAATAGGGACCAGACTTTTGTCCTCAGCAGGCTGTGTGTACCAGGAAAACATTCTAAAATTGTCCCCACCAGGAAAAATAAAACAAGTACACATACACACATACTTTCTGGCAGCCAAGACCTCAGCATCCCAGCAAGATAAAGCAAACTTTATTGTTTTACAAAGTACACAAAGTTCCCGACACATTTATGTCTAATTTACAGAAAGGTTTCAGTCTCATGTGCATCAAAATGCAGCTCCAACATTAAGACTCAATTTCAACAGATCAACATGCAGAAAAAAACAAACAGAAAACATGTATGATTCATTTAAGCAGTTCTGCATTTCTATTTTTTTAAATAAAATTATTTACTCAGAAAAATCAAGACAAATACTAAACATGAGCTCAGTTCTTTTTACAAGTCAAAGTAAACTTTGAATTCAGAAACAAGAGGGCTTGTATGAGACCTGACAGGATGATAACCTCAAGTAAAAATACCACAGCTTCAAAGTATCATGGTACTAAAAATACTAGGGCTGCACAGTAAATCAAAAATATTACCGCCATCGCAATATGAATATGGCAAAGAAGTGCTTGGACAACAAGTCACAGCTCGTTATATTTCAGCTACCACACATTCAGCTAAGAATATCAATTATTTGGTCAATCCAACAGACTCTGACTGGCCTTGAAGCCACACCTGGTTCACATCGTACTCATCGCAGAAGAGACGTGAGAAATGAGGAAATGTGGGTTTATTGCAACTCATATCATCATCATCTGAATATAAAGAATAATAACTCATCACAAGCTTTTATATTCTGCAGCCCTACTTTGAAAAAGAAAGAAAAAAAAGATTTCACAACCATAATCCATCATACATTTACTTTGATTTAAAAACAAAAAATCAACTACCGTATTTATTCATGTATAATACAATCATTTTATCTTACAAAGCATAAAAATCTAATTATCAATAACCCGTGTTTAATACTATCCCCAATTTTATGGATGATTTTTAGGGTTAAATTTCTAGTATTATACATGAATAAATACAGTAATTTATGCAAATATGACACTGCTGTATTAATGTCAAAGAACTGTTTGTTAAAGGAATGTCTATCACCTATCGTACCTGTGTGAAGGCTACTAGAGTCAACAACCAATCACATTCTTCCCTCTGCTCAGCTGACACAGAATGACATCATCTCCCCTCTCAGCCCCTTCTCAACACATCATCATTGGACAACTCCTGTGTGACTGGTCAGAATGTAAGGTGGGCGTGGTTAATCAGGAGCTCTGCATTACATTAAGAACAACTTTCTTGGTTCTTGACGAAAAAGCTTCAGTTTGAAATAAAGCTGTCACTCAGAATGTGTTGAGATAGAGACATAAAATATGAATGTACTGAGTTTCTCCACCTTCTCTTGGTGCTGGACCTGGACCTTCACACTAACTGGCTGCTGTGTGGGGCTTTAAGCCCCCATCACCCCTAACAATGACTCTTAGCGCTACTACTACCCCAAACTTTGGCTGAGCATCTGTAAAAACAAGCTATCTGTAGGTTGACTAAAACACCAAAGAGCCAGAAGCCGGATCAGATCTTTCTAAAAAAATAATAAAATAAAGACCAGATGAACTGAACAAGAGTTTTAAATGAACTATTTAATTAAAAAAGACTGTTTTTATTTATTTCGTAACGTAACTCTAAATGTTACCACCTCAGTGTTAAAACATCTTGGAGACCACTGGATGAAAACAAACATGGCTGCCACAAAACAACCGACTGTAAACTCAACTCAGTTTCATACGTACTGCGTTAACATCTGATGTGGTAGTAGCTGAGAGTTCTCACCTATGACATGGTGAGTGTTATTGCTGAGACTTCCCTCTCATTAACAGATGATCGGAGCTGTAAACCCTCAGAGAGGCAGTGAGTGACATGCATTCCTTCAAGGAATATATCAGACCTTTACTTTAGTGGTGCTGCTGTTCCTCTAATGGACCAGCCATCACCACCTCTGCTTGTTTTCTGTCAGAAAAAAAACTCTTGGTTTTATTGTTGTTTTTAAATAACAGGAGGGGGCAACACATTCGTACCCCAACCTCGTCACATATTAACACTAACCTAACCCCAGGTTCCCTCTCTGTTCAGTTTGGACGTGTTGGGTACCCCCCCTCATGCCAGTTGTTGACGAGATGAGAACGTGGAGGAGGAGCCTGTTGTCAGTTTTTTTGAAAAGTGTAGAAAATGTAATGTAATCCTAACACTAACCATTAACCATGACCCTAAACTTATTGTCTATTAACCCTAAACATCCCTAAACTTAACCACAGACCAGTGATGCGAGGAGGGTACCTGACACGTCAAAACCAAAAAAAGGGAGCCTGACCAAGCATCGATATGTGACGAGCAAAGGGACAGTGTGACAGAAACGTAGTGGTTTTAGACACTTTATAAAACCTCGGTAGAAGTTCTAACTGACCCATTATTCTGCACACAGAATGTTCTGAAACAAAAAGCTCCTGATGGGATCAGAACATCAGCTGAGTGGTTCCAGTCAGAACCAGCAGAATGCATAGAAGTCTTCCTTCAAACCTTCAGACATGATGGGAACAGAAGTATGTACATGTACGTCATGTGTTGCTTCAGGTTCCTGGTGTTTGGAGTTGAAAGGTCATTGGTCCAGTTGTTGAGGTAAATCTTCTGCAGCGGCGCGTGTCTGTGTCTTTACTTGTGTTTCAGCCGAAGATGCTGCTCCTTACCGTTGATGGTCACGGAGCGTAGCTGTCCATCCTCCTCCACCTCCACACGCTCCTGACCGTTCTCTACAATCCTGAGGAGCACAAACACAACCTGACTGTAGAAGAACTGGAAGATGACTAACAGGGGTGGGCAGTCCTGGTCCTTGAGGCCCGCAAGCCCTACGTTTTACATTTTTCCCTGCTCCAACTCACCTGATTCAGTCACTGAACTACCTCTTCCAAGTTCTGCAGTATGGAGGACCGACACTGACATAATTAGAAATAAAAGCAGAAATAGAGAAATGAACCTTTAAATAAATAAATGCATTTAAAATGAACCAAATTAATTAAAAAGGAGAACTTTACCTCTCATGTTTTATCATTTAATTGACCTTCATATTTATTTTTCCAGCACAGTTCGAATAAATTATATATTTGAACACATAATTTAAATTTTTATGTTTTTTAATATATATTTTAAATAATTTTTCCTTTTACTTGTACATGTATTTGTGTCTCTTAAATGCTTAAATTGAATTATTTTTATAATTTTGTCCAACAAGTCTTTTTATTTCTATGTGTTGTATGTTTGTGCTGCCGCAGTTTAGCTTAAAGTTTAGTTAAAAACAAATGCACAGATAATGTTTTCCTCCTTGCCTTTTTTTAAACTAAACTTTAAACATTTAGCTAAACTGTGGCAGCACAAGCCTGCAACACAGAAATAAAAAGACTTGTTGGGAAAAAAATATAAAAATAATTAAGTATAAACATTTAAGACACACAAATGCATGTACAAGTAAAATAAAAACAATTAATATATATTTAAAAAACAGTCCAATTTAAATTATGTGTTCAAATATATAGACTAATTTGTTGGAACTAACCTGGAAAAATAAATATGAGAGTCAATTAAAAATATATAGCAGGGGATAAAGTTCTCATTTTTTAATTTAACTGGTGCTTTTTAAGTGTATTTATTTAGTGGTTCATATAGTTCTTTTATTTGTATTTATGTCAGTTTTGGTCCTCCGTACTGCAGAAGCCTGATAATCATTTATTCATTCAAATCAGGTGTGTTGGAGCAGAGAAACAAGTAAAACATGCAGGGCTGCGGACCTCCAGCACCAGGATTGCCCATGCCATCTTTAATGACTCTGTTAGACTTATCTGCTGCTCAGATTTTTAACAGGAACAACCCTGGTTAAAACTACTCAGAATTTAATCTATTTGTACTAGGGCTGCTCGATTATTGCAAAAATTATAATCACGATTTTTTTGGATTGAAATTGAGATGTAGATTATTTGTGACCCATCACATCAAAACAAGGATTAAGTCCAAAAGTGGAATGTGGAGAAATAGGCAGATATGTGTTTTGATTTAAACATCTGCAAAATTTTCAATTTGTCAAAATATAATGAATTAATGTCTTGTCAATGTATCATTTGAATGAACTGTCTAAAATATAATCCTTAAATTTTTTTGAAGCATTTTTTTAGCAGCAGCAACAAAAAAAAACTGATTTTGAGGAAAAACGCCTTAAATTTTTCAATTTTTCCCTGTGAGCTAGCAATGTTTTTGTTTCTTTCCAACTGGGAAATCTTAATAAACAAATACTATTTGAGGTTTCCTCTTTGTATTAACATCACAAATGATTGAACAAATTTATCTAAAATTAGGATTCAAACCAAACAGTTATGTGTTATCGTAACCAACAAGACAAATTAAGTCATATCTCTGGATAAGCTGGTGATATCAGGATGATCCAGGTATCAAAATGTAGCTTTTAAAGCCAGAAATCTCAAAATGTAATGAGGTCATTTTGACCAAATTTGCCTTAATCCTCATTTCGATTTGATGGCTCACATTATTCACTTTGATAAAATGAAGTTATTGAACACAAACAATGGCTGTTAAAAAATGTTTCCCTAAGGATTTCAAATATTTCTGAAAAAATTTGACAAAGTTTTACTTTGTCTGTGGGAGGAGCCCGCAGCATAGTCTGGCACTGAAATCACAACACAAAACAGCATAAATATGGCCCTATAAAATCTGTTTTATTTTTTCCCATCTTTATTTCTCTAAACTCCACATGTGCTAACAAACTTGCAGAAACGTTCTTCTACAGATGAATAAATAACTGCTGGGGTCTTGTTCTGTCCTAAACTTTACCCTAGCTTCATATTTTCAGAGCATGTTGCTTTTAGCGAGTTTGTTAGTTAAAGCTCCCTGTACCTTAGTAACTGGATTTCGTCCGCGTTTTCTGCATCAAGGAAATCATACGGCTCTACGTAAACTGCGAACCTTGTACCATTAAGTTTTTATGATTGTTGAAAACCCAAATCATAATCAAGATCAAAATCCAATTAATCACCCAGCTTTAATATGTACCTTTTAGTAGTGATCTTTCTGCCGTTGATGATCTTAGTGGAGGTGGACACAGAGCGAAAGTTTCCATTACTTCCTCCTCCTCCTCCTCCTCCTCCTCCAAATGAAGAGGAAGAGAAAGAAGTGAAGCCACCGCCTCCCAGACTGCTCACAGCTGTCATGTGACCCATGTGGCCCATGTGACCCATGTGGCCCATGTGGCCCATGGCACTCATTGGACCAAAAGAACCAAATTCTAAGAAAAGAGAGAAAAAATGAGAATAAAGCCAGTTTTTGTGATTGTGTTTCAGAAGTCGGTGTGTTTCTTACCTGGGTTAAAAGGTGTGAGGCCAGCACCGAAAGGAGGGAAACCGAAACCTCCGAAGAACGGGGCTGCAGTCTGACTGCGGCTCGGCCGACCGTGGTGCCGCCTGCCACCGCCGAAAAACGGATCGTCGAAGAACTGATCCGAGCCTGGGACGCAGGAAGAGTAAGAGTTACTGAGACAAGAACAGGCGCAGCAGGAAGACGAGCAGCTCTTCAGTCAATGGTCTGAACGTCACCAACGTCACCTCAGAGGACCTCAGTCCTAGTCCTGGTCCTGGTGGACCAGTTTCCTGCAGGTTTTAGATGCTATGACTCATCTGATTTAAAGAAATGATCGACAGGCTTCTGCAGAAGGAGCAGGAAAACAACTAAAACCTGCAGGACTTGTGTCTCAAGGACTGAGGTCCACTGCTCTGTACTGACGGTACAACTTACCAAATAAGTCTGCAAACGGGTCTCTACCACCAAAAAAGTCCCGGAAGACGTCCTCCGGGTTGCGGAATGTGAACGGTTCGTGGAAATGTCCTCCATTGGGGAAATGTCCACCTGAAAGCAGCAGCAGCAGGTGATAGTGATGAGCTGGATGATCAGAAGCTTAGAAAGAAAAGCCCACATGAACAGATATTTGAAGTTTACCTCTTCCATTGTTGCTCCCCACCAGCCCCTCTTTACCGTAACGGTCATATATGCTCCTCTTGTTGGCTGCACAGACAACAGGTTACAACAGAAGAATATAAGAAGCTTTTACTCACTCTCAGCAGATTATGTTTTAAAAATCTTCTCAGGTTCTTCAACAGCCAAAAACAAAACCCAATGTTCCCTGCTTATTCAAGATCATCCATCACGTCGGGGGTCACCAAATTGTTGGAAAAATATGCGTTGTTCAAAATGGTATGTCCGAATGAACAGAATTCAGCTGGGTTTCTTGTTAAAAACTTTATTTTCAATCTTCTGACTCTAATCAGGTACATTCAGCGCTCAGCAGCACAGGCCTCAGCTACAACCTTGGGCTGAATCAAAACAAACACAGGAGCTCTGCTCTGAGCAGACACTCTGCAAAACACTGACAACTTCTTCCTACTATAATAATGAAYTSAGCTTATAATGTTCATCCCTTCCTGGTTACACCCCAGAGGTGTTACCTTTTATGTCAGACGTCAGAACGTCACTCAGTTTTGTTTAGGCTAAGAGAAAGAACACACACACACACTAACTCTTATTCTGTTATGGCCTTAAAGCTGTAATGATCAGAAAGTATAAAATACAAAACTGAATCTAATATTCAATTAATCAGTTACAAAATTTCTTCACTCCTCTGGTTGGCTGCACAGACAACAGGTTACAACAGAAGAATATAAGATTTTGTAGCGGTGTGTTTGGTGAAGTGTGTTACAAACCATCTGACAGGACTTCATAAGCTTCTGACAACTCTTTAAACTTCATCTCTGCACCCTCCTTGTTCTCAGGGTTCTTATCTGGGTGCCATCTTAAAGCCAGCTTTCTGTACCTGAAGAGGAACAGAAAAAGCTTCAGTTCAGTTTGAGGCTCCCTTTGTGAGGCCTGTAAGAATTACAACCCCAGTTCTTAAAGTTGGCACATTGAGTAAAACATAAAACTGCTACGATAAATAATAAACGCAGATTTTATTCACAACTGAAAATGTTTAAACAAAAAAAAAATTCCTTATTTCAAAATGTGAGCTGATGTTGATTTTTATGATAGCAACACATCTAAAAGATGTTGGCCTGCCCTATAAATCATCTGTTCTTCTGACAACAGCCTGTAGATGTGGAGGAAGTGATTTCTAGAAATCTAAAGTTAGAATGAGTTTCCAGCGTGCACACTCTGCTCACGAGGGACAAACTCATCTTCCTGAGGGAAGTCTTATCGACTTACCAGGGACAACGTTTAGAAAGTAGCAGTACTCACGCTTTCTTGATGTCATCTGCAGTAGAATCCCTCTGTACTCCTAAAACCAGGTAGTAGTCCACCATGATGAGCTGCAAGTGATCCTGATGCACCTAAAGGAGGATTGAGACACACTGTTAAAACAGAGACGCTGCTCTGTCAGACAGTTACAGCCACTCTGTAGAACGTTACTGTGTGAACCTGAGCTCTGACATTTAGAAGCAGTTTCTACCTGCCATGATGTCACATCCTCAGCACTTACAGCTCTGCACCCAGAACAACTCACTGCTGTGAGTTTGTCAGAAGACAGTGAGTGACTGACATGTGTGTGCATTCTGTGTATTTAGAAATACAATTAAAACCACAAGTTTACATACACCACATGTACAGACACGTGTTAATTTCCCCCCACAATGTTTGACATTAAATCAGACTAAACATTTCCTGTTTTGGCTCAGTAAGAAGTCCCAACATTAATTCTATTTGCTGCAGAAGTGTGCCTCAAATTAACTCAAATGTTGTCAACTTAATAAAAACATGCAAAACTCTAACATCAACATCTGGGCTTTGCTGATTACATTTAGTACATGCAAACTTGTGTTTTTAAAGAAAGTAAAATCAATCATTTTCAGAATCTTAAAAGGGATCCCCTATTAGTTGTAACATTAGACTTTTTATGATAAACATATACTTTAACTGTGAAATAAAGACTGTAAAAATACTGTAGGC